TCCCAAGCTGCCCTTCCACACAGTACGACACATCAGTCATGTTGACCACCTCGCCTCAAATCTTTGTCTCCTCGTCCTCATCCAGGAATTGCAGGATCATCCAGAAACCCATGATGGGTTTCAGAAACCATGGGTTGCTTTTCAGAAACCATGGGTCCTGATTTGAGTCATGGGTTTCTTTTTTTCTCATATCAGGACCTTCTCCACAAACCTCCCAGACTCACCCCGGACTCACCTTGGCGAACTGGTTCTGCTGCAGCACGTTGCTCTCCAGGCCGTCCACCTTCGCCTCGGAACGTCATTCGGGTATTCACGCGGGTGAAACGATGCGCTTTGGGGAACCAAAGGTGCCGGGGTCAAAGGCTAGCGCAAGCAGCGAGCTCCATAGCTCGCCGTGTGCCCCGAAAGGTGCCTGTGGCTGCCTGGGGCTCAGCCTGCCGTCTATGCCTCTGATGGGTTTTTAAGCTTTTTCCCCCCCCTTTTTCATGTCTGGAGGAGACCCAGCAAGTGAGGGAGACGAGCCAGCCAAGCAGCAATCTGCAAGTTCTGTTCCTCCACACGGGATAGGAGGTCCTGCATGGTACAGCGAGGTGGCTGATGTACTCTCCCTGGAACTAACCTGGAAGTGGACAACCACCTGTTTGTAGTGGAAAATGGTCTTCCAAGAGACAATTCTCCACTTCCATGTTAGTTCCAGGGAGTGTATATGCCATGCATCAGGCGTGAACTTTCTAAGTCAGTCTGTATGTATGTTGCTGACGGATGGCATATACAGTTTGGCCATCGGCTGGAGTCTCCTCAGTATAATCTGGCATGAACAGAAGGACATCGGTGGAAATCTATATCATGCAGAGTCTTGATTCATCAAACCTCCCATATACATCATATAAAATCATGTTAAAATCCAAATGGGAGGTTACCAGTCACAAGATGTCACAAGTCTATATCACAAGTCCGCCCTGAAAAGAATCATCCCCTTCCCGTGGAACAACACGCACGTGCTTCCGCCCCGCCAAGAGAGCTTCCACCCCGCACCCCGCACCCTGAAGCCGAAACCACCCAAGAAACCCAAAGCCAGCCAGGAGCTGTTGGGATGCAACTCGTCATGTTTGAACATGGTTAAAACCCCGCGTCTTCGCCACGTCTGCCACGAGCTCGAGCTCCGAGCAAGTCCCACGTCCTTCTGCTTTCCCTCGAGCTCCGAGACTTGTGCCAAGGTCGGTCTTAAGACCCGGAGCACCTCGGACCAGGTCGGACCAGGGGGGTGGGAGAAAAGCTGGGCAAAGGTGGACGCCCCAGTGGCCAAGTCGAAGTGGCTTCTATTTACTTGGGATCTTCCAATCCAAGGTCTATCTAGTATATACAGTATGTATATACTTGTGTATATGTATAATATGCTGCAATATACAAAACATATGGGGCTGAAAAGGAATGCACACACTGTCTTTACCTGGATGTTGGTGCAACAACTTACTCTTTCAACCGACAGTGCTTTACAACAAATCAACAAATGATCCACCCACCTTTGACCATCTCCAACATCACGTGCTCCACCGTGCTCCAATATGCTCCAATAAAGAACGTCCGCCCCCTTCCCTGTTCGGCGGTCCCCCCACGGAGTCGCGCAAGCGCGTCTCCATCTCCGCGGCCATGATCTGAGGCGGGTGCGAAAGCAGTGCTCAGTGGCACGGTGGTGCCGGCGATCAGAATTATGGCCATGTAGAGGCCGTGATGGTTGCTACTGAAGGCCACCAATCGTAACAACGTCATAAGGCCTTTGAAGATCTTTTGATCGGCCTTGCTCACCAAGTGATTTCAACACTCGACTGCGAGGTGTCTCACCGAGCCATTTCAGCTGCCAAACTTTTTGATTGGTCCCGGCGGCGGCCTCGATCTCTTTGAAACGCGGCCTCAGTCGTTTTCTCACGATCTCGTGCATGCATCAAATGTCCCAAAGACTGGAGAGGTCAAGCTAGGGAGCTTGTCATGAAACAAACTCACGGACCCGTGCAAAAGGTACAATATTGACAATCATTGCTGACCATACCACCCAAGGGCGAGCTGGTTGTATTGAGCCTTTTGGGATGATCTGTGCCAAATGTGCCGGCAACAGTGTGAGCGTGCGCCAAACCTCCACACCAAACATGTTGGCCTTGAAGCCTTGAAAGACGGACTACACGCTGGATGTCTTCCAAGTAAAGACATGTCCGTTCACCGTCACTTGTGGGACGTTGGCCTTTGCCCCTTCTACCCCACCTTGTCACCAGATTTCCTCCAAACAGAACCTGAGACTGGAATCATGGCATGTCAGGTCGTCCTTTTCGGACTCTAAGACTCCTAGCCTCCTCGACTCCCCAGCTCCTCCGCCCTCGACGCTCGCGGTGACCCGGGCTCCGGGGCCCATCGACTTCGACACTCATCTTCGATGAACGGCGATGCCGGGGTCGAAGCCTCCCACGAGGCTGGCTGCCCGATGGGGTGATCCGTTTTGGGATGGTTGGGATGGTATGGCAAGCCTCCTCAAGCCTCCAGCACTTTGCAATTGGCTCTTGGACCTCTGGACTTACAGAATCTTATAGAATTGTAGAGGTGATCTCAAGCTCTTGCTGGCTTCTAGCAAGCATGGATAGGCCAGTACCACCTCTTGAAAGGGTCGCTCGGCGCACGCGTGGCGCGCTCGTGCCTTGGGCTTCCCCCCCAAAAAATTGCCTCGGATTCGGGGAGCCTTGTGTCCGTTTCCAACACGGGGGGCCTCCTGGATGATCCAATGGTGTTTTCACTCTGTTGACCCTCAGGGTGTCAGAAATAGCCATGTCATGCCATATCATCCTGGGTTTCTTTTCAAACATGGATGCAAACATTGCAAGGTGTCACGATGACAGCACATGTGTTTCCTTCTGGGATCGGGGGTCTCTGCTTGGGTGCTGTTCCCAGGGGCCCGACAAACACCCACGTACCATGGGGAATGCCATGCAAAAACATTAGGCAACCCAAAAGCCAATCAGAGATCCAATTAGTTCAGTGGTCAAAAAGTTGACTATAGTCGACTGACGCGGTAAACTCGAGGGAGAATTTAGTCCCTATGTCCGCCGTAGGCGTGCAAATTGGAACATTTTGGAACAACGAAAGCGAACGTACACAGGGCGTAGCTCCAGCCACTTTGACATACACCCACGGCCCTTGCGATATGCTTCATGAACCTTTGCCAATCTGAGTCTCAGGCCCCCTAGGGCCCTAGGGCCGTCGCGTTCGCGTCGTGGCCACTGATCCGTGAGCCACAGGACAGGAAAAACCAACAACGTCAATGGCGTCCACGTTCTGCCCATCCAAAACGGTCAGTTTGCGCATCTTTGCACGTATGGTCCACCAAGCTAAACCAATCAGGTCACCCAAGATTGTGACCCCACTGTGCTACCTGAGTTCAACTGAACATGGTCCTGCTTTGAGGTTCAACAATGGTCTATGCACAAGTCCTAAAGCCTAAAGCATTAAAGCGGGGGGGGCCTGTACGACCCAATCTCATCCAACTGCAATTGCTCGTGCATGCCTACCCCCAACCAGCCAGTGAAGCACCCTCTGTAATTTTGACCCGCCAACCTACTTGAACATTTGAACACTTGGTGCAACCATCTTGGTTGCCCTCAAGCAGGACACCAGGAAGCCAAATTGTTGGAGCGAGTTCATCCCGCCATCTAAAACGATGGTCTCTTAAGCAGTGGTGCTGTCTAGAGTTTAGTATGCCTACTTCCTGGACTATATAAGCAAGAGTCCTGACCGACTACCTTGATCCCGCCTTCGCTACTGCTTTTCACAGAAACTCAGCGAAGCATCTGAAAACTTGGGTGCGGCTCGCAGCTCCAAGAGCGTCCGGAAGCCGCCCATCGCACGAACAACTGGCCCATGTCACGAAATTCGTTGTTTTTCTCAAGCCATGCTGCAAGCAAGGCTGCCCCGTGGATTGCTCCCATCGCTTCCATCCCAATGGGTGCGGTTCATATGGGTTCAGCGATGGAGCGACCGGACGCCCTGGGCAAGAGCTTTGAGCCCCGAAGAGTCCGAAGAGGGCCATTCGATTGATGGCGAACGTGTAGCTAGCGATGTCTGGGGGGCTTTCAGGTGCCAAAGAAGTCAAATCAAACATGTTCTAATGTTTGTCCCCCTTGCGAGCAATTCCTCCAAACACACATTCCTGCGATACAATTAGCCATCCAAACTAACTAGGACCAGGACCTAAAAAGGATCGTAGCTAGACATACTGGTGCCACAGCACTTTGAGTGCTCGGCATATCTGCACCTCAAAAATAGGGCTCTCTCAATGAAACGACAACTCCATGGAAGTGAACCACCGCTGAGATTTCCGCACCTCGTAGCCCAACCGTCCATCTTTAATTGAACCAATTGGATGTCCCACCGATGCGCCGGGCATCGGACCCGGTGCAGCACGCAGGGCGAAGCGCGTGGACCTCCCTCTCGGTCGCGTCTCAAGACGGCGTTCGGCCGCTGCCGGAGCGTCACCGGAAGTGTAGATCTGTACAAGAACGAAGCAACGTCTGAAGAGCCAAGCACAGTGATCCATCGCCCGAGTTGTTTCACCTTCCACCGCCCAGGACCCGCATCGCCCGCGACGCTTCTCCGCCCGCGCCATCGCCCCAGCGGATTCTCCGCCGCTCAGGTGGACTGTTTCAGATTCTCTGCGCCCGAAATCACCTGGCAAAGGCTCGTTGCCGCGCACGTCTCAGAAAGGCTCGTCGCACGGAAGGGTGTGGGGAGATTCGGCCAGCGAACCTAGCTGCAGCTGACTCTTGTTTGAAGCAGTGGATGGAGATGGATCGAGCACCTGAACCTGAGGTGGTTGGAGGACTTCCATAAATCTGGGTCGTTGGAGGGCCCTAGCATGCCACCTGAGGTGCTTCCACCTGGTGTCGCCAGCTGACCCCAGAAAAACACAAATAAACAACATCGAAGTTTACCTTGGTTGCCCACCCCACCAATCGGACTTTTTGGTCAAACACGCATTTTGCCGACAAATTTTATGTCCATTCCCACCACTCAGAGATGTTCAGCATCAAGCGAGGGTCGAAGGCTTGTAAGGCCGCATAACTGGCCAACCTTGCAATTGATGTGACCAACAACGGTCCAGGGGAAATCTTTGGGCCGCTTGTTGCTTTCTCACAAATGCTGCATAGACCTTGGAGGAAGCCCTCGTGTTGTATGTTCCGGTGCTTTCGCCATACCATATGCCATTTTCCATTGATTGTCAAATGTCAACGACCAGCTGTCGGTGAACATCTTTTGCACACTATACCGGACCACACCCCTTAATTAAGACAGAGTATATAGTTGATCGTTAGATATCGTTATATAGATATCGTTAGATCTGACATTCAGAGAATGAGACATTGAAGCCGCGGCTGCCCGGTGGCTGTGACCTGAAACGGTGAGCTCAATAGCCCTTTCTTGCCGTCTTGCCATGGGCCCATCATGGCCCCAGGAAGCCCCCGCAGGTTCCTGGTATATATATGATGTGGTGATAAAAGGAACCACATTCAGTTCTTCAAAGATCAGTTCCTGCTAAGAGTTACCAAGCTCCGAACCTAAAGGTATCTTGGGTTGTCCAGCACGACTCCTTGGCCAAACCCGCCAAAAGAATCCCAAAGGTGGTAGGGAAGTGGAAGAGCGTCAAATCTACAGTCCCTTTTTGGAGGTACAAAGGTTGGTGCTCTGGATTCTAGGGACCTATTCATGAAGCATCTGTCTATCAAACACCCGGAGATCGATCCAACATCTTCGAGGAGTCCGTGGGTTTGGGTCCGAGTTCTGTGACACCCAGAACTTCTCCATTCACCACCCTCTTCTGCCAAAGAGTCACATCTTCTGCCAGTAGCACATGGCACCTCTCCGCCCAAGCTCCTCCCGTGCCACGCGCTGCCCCGCGCGGGCAATGGCCCGTGCGTCCGCGTCGTGCGTGCGGAGCCACTGCAGAGTCGCCGTCAAATTCGCAGTGCTGCAGCGGTCCCGGGCGAAGGGCACGAAGTGGACATAGGGTTGGAGATCTTTGTAGAAGTACTCCTGTCATGAAGGGTGGACATAGGGCTGGACATGAAGGCATATCTGCTGGGCTGATTGTTGGAAGGGTGCGAGACATGTAATCACTTTCGTGAAGATCCGTGAAGAACACATTGGGTATGTTTGGGGTATGGGTTGGTTACGGTTGTTTCTTTGGGGTTAGGTTGGGTTTGCGTAGCTTTTTACATCTTCCTTAGGAAAGCTCGGCGCCCAACTTGCAAATCCAACTGCCAGTTGTCGTTTGGGTGGTAGGAAAGCATACAACAAAGTGTAATACGAAATAGATCAACCTGGGATTGATGTGGACGCATGTCTAAACCCTTCTAAATTTGGTTTGACAAACAAAACACAGCGGTAGGATCACCCACCTCGGACCTTACAAGGCCGTTTGAGTTTCATACTCATCTTGCCGCCTGAGGTATATTGCCCCGGCAAATTTGGCAAAGGTATTTACATGTATTTACGGCCCTTCTAAACCTAAAGCACATGAAGCTGGTCCCTGGGAGGACCAGCGAACCACTTTGACTCATTGGACAAACGACGTGGTGGACAACGCTCCAATATCCAAGACACTCCATGGGACTGCCATATATGCCTACATTGGGGTGGTTTTAGGGGTCAATGTATGCATATATATGGCATACATGGAGTGTCTGGGATATAGGCTCCACACAGGCTCCTCATAGACGGAATCTTGTTTCAAGACCACTGAGCCCATCAGCAGAAGTTTCAAGAAGCGATTGCTGGCAGCAGTGCCGTCCAGGTGCAGCAAGTACTTGTGCTTGGCGTGCTCCTTAGGTGCGTGCGAATAATCTGATGGCAAGCAAAGCCGTCAGATGGTAGTGCGGGGAAGTATGAAGAGATTCTCAGTGGTCCTTCACTCTTGTTCTCTGCCAAATTTTATTGTTGAAGGCCAAACATGGCCTCTTCCCATAGGGCGTTGGTGCTCTCCGAAGAATCAAACATGAAACTCGGCCAGGTTTGTTCCATGGGCTCGGCGAGCATTTTGCACATTCGAAGACGCCCTAAGGCCCTAAGACTCTTTACCCATTGACTGTTCATCCATCTCCCCTGTCATCTTTTAGCCCCCCCTGGGAGTCCTAGCCTAAACCATGGAATCCCCATCTTCCGCAGCTATATGGAGGGTGACTCCGAAGACGGCTAATTATAATCAATCATTATATAATCAGGTTGAACTGCTCAGGGTATCTCAAGGCTGCGGTCAATCGATACCAATAATAAAAACGAATTTGAGGTGCTAATGCCTTTACAGTATAGTATATTTTTATGATACTTTACAGTATGTCATTTTTGTTGGGCTGCCGTGGGCACAAACTAGGATTCTCCACGGTAAGCACATATTATTTGGCAACACCGGCTGCATTTGGCAGTGCATCTCACTTTGTTCATCACCCAGGGGACTCAAACTGTACAGTCACACCTAAGGCGATTCAAGCTGCACAGTCACAGCATGAGAAAAGGCCACACAAAAATACCCTTTGCGATGCGTCAAGATGACATCTGAAAGATCCCAGACTGGAAGCCGGTTCCAGTCGCTGCCAGGCTGCTTGACATGAACAACAGCAACACCAGCATCCAGATCCACATCCAAATCGAGCAACATTCCCACAGCCATTGCTGAAGAGGAATTGGCCTTTGTCCTTACCATGGTGCGATCGGCAAATCTCTTGACCAGCGACCCCCAGCGATTCACGAACATGGACTGGATGCCTTGGATGTCATTCCCCAAGCGATCGGAAAACACAAAGCCAATGCCATCTGATGCAGCCAGCTGACCTTGAAGTATCTTCACCCTGTAGCTGTGTCTCCCACCCTGTCGCAACATGGACTCATAGATCAGTTTCATTGCTCCTTCTCGTTTGGTTTTCGTGAAAACTTTTCCAGTCGCATCCAATGTACCGTAGCGAAGGGAGGAAGGATTCCACAAAGCAGTGATAGCTGCATGGTCGCTTGGTGATTGCGCCTCTGGTGGTTCCAACTCAGCCTGCTTGTAAGAAGCAGCAGGAACATACGAGTGCGGGACAGAGCTGATGAGAAAGCACTTCGAGAATTGATCTTGCATGAACGTGCTGTCAACCTCCACAAACTCCCCATCACAGCAGGTCGAGAAACTGCGTTCCCATTTGGTTGCGAAGCGGCGCAGCCGGGTTTCAAATCGAATCTGATGCAGCCGTGCATGAGTCTGAGGATACATGACCGCTCGCACCATTTTGACCACTCCTGCATTGGCCAGGCAGCGGAAAACAAACAATCTCCGGTTTGAGATGCTGTAGATCTTGCCTGATTCAGTGTTCACCAGTTCCATAGGAGGAAATGGTGTCATCACTGAAGGGCCATCGTTCAGGGCGGCAATGATGATGTCATCTAGAGCGTCACCAGACCTAAATGTTGAAGAGATTGATGCATGGGTGAAGCGAATCTCTAAAGGATCCACCTCCACCACAGTACCACCCGCTCTCAGCACAAGGTCATGGCGAATTGCACTCCTTTCCTGCATTCCATGTGGTTGTGGTTGCTCTTCTCGTTGCTGTAGTTGTTGCTGGTGGCTCTCCTGCTGTGGTCTGGTTATTGTTCCTGTTATTGCTGCTGGTTGTTCTTATTGATGTTTTTGTTGGCCTTCTGGAATCTCCTCCATACCGGAGTGGCGGCAGCATATTGGGACAACTAGCACTCAAACGAGTTTTCGAGCGCGCTCTAGATACAGTTTTGCTTGCATGACCATCAAGTTGACCAAGTCACGGGCAGCGACACTGGTGGCACCTCAGGCGACTCGCAGTGGGACCCCATCAAAAAAAAACTCGCATTGGGACCGTCTGCAGATTCAAAAACTTCATCATATATCGGGTATGTTATTTCTACACCTCAGTCTCAGTCTGTGCCCCATCGAGACAAATGAGAAAAACAGCACATTTGACTTGTCTTGGGTGAGAAAGACTAAGACTACGTGAAAGGAATGGAACGTGGTGGAACATGGGCCCCAGCAAGCTCCGAAAGCGCTCACGGCCCAGATGTGTGGAGCCTGAACAGATGTTCCAACCCGGCTCGGACGCTTTGGTGTCACACATCGTGTCTTTCTTCGGCGGTCACCAGGGCGTGCGATGTGAATTACACAACCAAGACTGTGACAAGTTGGCAAAGCACATCACCACAAGGTCAATACATCTTTCGGTCTTCTGGCACTCAAAGATTCATCCAACTTCGATCCGAATAGGGTCTGATCTCAAAGCACAACTGGATCAACCCAGTTTCAACAAAACACGGAACCAACATGAACCAACAAAGGGTTTGCTACTCAGTGTTGCAGTCCCCTATCTGCTAACAAAAAAGGTGCTGAAACAAGTCTCAACTTCTTTCATCCTACTTCTAGTGACTTCCTTTTCTCTCAAGATTCTCCAGTCAAAGGTCGGCTTTTGAAGCCACTCAGTCATTGACCCTGCCTTCCCTCCACCGAACATCTTTAACATCCACCCCCAAAACCTTGGCACCTTCAGCACTCCTTGCCAGGGTGCGTAGCGCTGCTTGGGATGCTCTTTCTTCACAAAGTCCTCAGTTCTGCGGCTGAACGGTCGTGCCGTGGCACCGGTTCACACGGTCAACGCCCGAGCCGAGCCGCGCCTGATGGCTCAGTACTGGATGGGAGACCTCCATCGATGATTGGGTGACTGAGACAGCCTTCTGAATCCATGCTGAAGAACAATCAGAACATCAAAACAACAACATCATACAACATCCAATCTTCAGGATCCTTTGCATTTTAGCCCAATTGGAAACTATATTGAGCTGCCTACAAGCTAAGCGTATCGTTGTTGGGGAGTCTTGCCATCTGTTTACCAACCCAAACCGCACGCAGTCCACAAAAAGTCTCCAATCCTCTCAGATTCCGTTTCGTTCCAGTTGGTTTACAAAAAACACGGATCTCCGTGTTCCCAAAAACCCAGCCTCAGGGTTTTCTACCATGTGTCAACCACCCCGAGATTTTTTCAGCTTGACTTCAGCACCTGTTCTTTTCGCTGGACTCCCGGACCTCTCAAGGCCACGCGTCTGGCGCACCGGTGAGCCCCACGTCCAGCCACTCGGCCAGTTCGCCCTCCGCGAGCGCTGCGTACCAGCGCCGGTAGCCGAAGGAGCGGCTCACGTCGGAGCTCCGGATGCAACTCCTTAGGGCTCCGGATGGCGGACAGTCAGGTGGATTCTAAGTGGTCCAGCTGTGGATTATAATTCATACACAGTATTCCGGAGAGTGAGCTGTGGAATTTGGGCCGAAAGAGATTCCAAAGCAGGAGGGACGACAAGTTATATAAAGAAGTGATAAAACAACTCACCTTGCACGGCAAAAATGTAAACTATTGCATCATTTCTGGCAGCACCCAAACACCCGCACGCCATAAACATCCTTGGTCAACATCGACTCAAGTTTTGTTTTTGTTTGTGAATTAACTCCTCTTTTGAAACCATGTTACTACTAGTAACAAGTGCCACGCTACTAGTAACAAGTGCCTTACTAGTAGTAACAAGAAGCTATATATTAGTCTCTTAATGTTCTTGTGCCGAACATCGCCCTCCGATCCGAGGCACTCCGGAGGCCTGGAGGCCAGGAACTCTGTGAAGGCGTTGCCGGAGCCCCAGTCGTGGCCGCGGAAGAAGCCGCGCTGGGAGCGCTCGGACCAGGGATAGGTGGCCTCCAAGGAGCTCTGGAAGTCCTGAGAGGGAGAAGGATGAGAAGGGTGATGAGATATAAGATGCTGGGATTGGTTGGTTGGGTTTGGTGGGCCTAGTGCTTGTGGTGGTAGTGGGGGGAGGTTGGGTTGATGAGATCGAGGGGAGTTATGGGTCAGTGAATGTCAGTGGGTAGTGGAGCTGGCGATGGAGGTAGCTATAGTGACTTAATGTAGGCTCTTGATTGAGGAACTCCCCATTTGGATTGTAAAACCTCTTCACACTACATTAAAGAGTTTCCTCAAAGCGTTCTTGACATTGCCAAGCTACAAGCCTTTGTGGCCACTGGCTGGACCAATTTTCTCTGGGTGGGCGTGCCACTGACAAAATCGACGTGCTTTTCGCAACTTTTCTGTGGTGAGATGCATTTATTGCCAAAATAGGGGTGGGATGGTGCCTGGGAGGTTTCTCTCAGCACACGGCACACTGGTGTCAATCTTGTCAATGGCAAAGTTGTAACACACCCAACAACCAAGTAGTACAATTAACAACATCCCCAATCCCCAATGCAGTAATTGACTAAACGACTACACATTCAACCTGAGCCAATCCTTTGGTAAAGGCCGAGCCTGGGCACGTTGAGTGTAACATACTGTAACATCTTTCCTATTTTGGCCACTGAACCTTTGTTCGCAAGCTGCGCCCCATTACAGTATATGTCTTATAAAGAAACAACTGAATCGTGTAATTTTCCGTGGAACATCCTCAGGAACTCAAGGGCTAATTCCTGAGTTCATCAAACTTCCAGTAAATCTGCAGCTCCCTGTCGACATCTATCGACACCTCACTGAAACCTCCACCTCCCTGTTTCCCTTGTCTAAATGTGTCGCCTAAGGCGCCACTGATTCCCAAAGCGCGAAGTCTTGCAGAACCGTCTGCGAGGAAATGCCGCCACTCGACTCAAACCACGTCTGCCCAGGCACCGGGATATCCTGAAGCGTGGGTTTTGGACCAATTTGTTTGGCATTTAATTTCCGTATATTATATATATATATATATATTATATATATACGTATATTATATAAGCCTCGGGATGCGTTTTCCCAACACTACACGTCGAGGTCCACGTCGTAGTACTCCAATTGATTGACTTGACTGTGGCTGGCTCGCGCGGAGTCACGGCCCGGCGGCAGTGCAGAACCGTGGAACCGAGTGGATCCGGTGGATCTGGGTTTTGAATGGTTTTGATGGATGGTGACTTCTTTGTAGCTTTTCAACTAAAACATGGCTGTTCTTTGTAGCTTCTTTGAGATCCCTATAACCCATCTCTTTATAAGAATGTCAACACATTGAACACAGCGTAGCGGTTCTCATATTTATATATATATTAATTATCTTTTGTAGAAGCGCTGAGAGCGGTATCCCGGCAGCCGTATGGTCAAGCAAGTGGTCCTCACGCTAGTTTCACTCTGTGCGCAACGAGTTCACCGTCCTTTCTAGCATTTTCCAGCCACACCAGCACCCAAACACTCCATGGGACTTGAATCAATGCCTACATTGACTCCCCAAGCCAACCCAATTGATCGGCAGATGTGGCAGTCCATTGGAGTCCCGTCCCCAGCGTCAGTCGGAGAGTCTCATGCTTCCCCCCGCAGTTCCAAGGCGCCCAATGTGCCACGGTGGTCAGGCCGGAGAGCAAGGGCAAGGGCTTCGATCGGCTCTTCTCCTGATCGCCACCCGAATGGACCGGAAGCGACCGAGGGCGACCGCGTCTGGGCCCTGCAGGACGCAACGACCGGAAGCGACCGCTTTGATCGCTGGTTGCAAGGGACTCGGCACATCACGCGTTTTCAGGATGAAACAGGATGAAACAGGTGTTCCGCTGTTCCACCCAACCGAAGCCAAACAGGTGTTCCGACAGTCCGAGTGAATCACTCGCAAGAACAAACGTTCTGACAGTCAAGCCCAGCGTCCAGCAAGGCTTCATCATGCACCGAGAGCACGAAAAAAACGTCTGGAAAGTGCTCGGGGCCCAAACTCCTTGGCCAAAAAAAACCGTGGTACAAGTTTCATCCATCCTTCTCCCTTTTCTTGCAACTTCTCTCCACCACTGCTAGGTGTACAGGGTGCGCCTTTTCTACGCAGCTCTGACCCGCATAGCGCAAAAAGCATGAGAACCAACATCAAAATCAATAAATCAACAACAAATGATGCCAGGCCGGTCTCGCCTCGTTGGCCACCCCACAGGGGAATTGACATGACAAAATAGGTGGATAATGATGGAGAAATGAAACAACTTACGTGCGTGCGCTGGAAATCTTGAACTTGTCAACTTGTACATTTCGGGCAAGTTCGTTTTCTCCCCAGTGGGTGCCCAACAGGATGTTCATTTTAATGCCCCTTCTGTCACTTCCGGCTCTTCTTGGGACTCTCCACTGTCACCCGCCCATACAAGCACCACACCATCAGCGCTGTGAGTGTAGGCATCTCCATGACACCCAGTCAGAAGTTCACATCAGTTCAACATCCGCGGGACAACGACCCCAGGACTCATCCGAACTCCCAACTCAAGAAGCCACGTTCGGGGCTCCTGGCCTTACTACTAGGAGCAAGGACGCTACTAGGCGCTCCTGGCATGGCTACTAGGAGCATTCTTACTACAATAGTCTCTTGGGGGGACTCAAGCTGATGACCCACATCCCAACTCTTTCAAACGACACGTTCTTTGAATCAAAGCCACACCGGTCTTGTGTTTTAAACAGTCTTTATTCGAAGATCGGCATCCGACAAACTCAACGAGAATCTTCTTTTTTTTGGGTGAGGAAAAATGAAACATCTCAATTGTCATCCAGAACTAAGTACACATAGTGTGCAACCAGCAAAACCCGAGGATTAGGATGATAAAGCCCTAACAATGAGGCTCCATACTGCCCGGCCGCCGCAGGCGACTTCCTCGGCAAGTCTCTCAAGGGCCGCCTTCAGGAGCTTCAGCGTGGCTGAGAGCCAGCCGCCCAAACGGATGCTGTGGCGCAAGTAAAGGTGTCCATCCTTTACAGCTCTGGCCAAACGATTTCGTGGGCATAGCTTCGGCATCCCAAAATACCAATTATATATACCTGTCCTTGAAACCCAAGCTCTGAACATAGACTGTGAAAGACATTGAAGGACTAGTTTTGCTCTACCGGAACATGAGTTCCAGTGCGTACATTGCAGGTTGTGCATCACTTGCTGCCGGTGTACCCACGAAAAGGGTGATGCAGGGAGATGCTTATAGATCCGAGTTGTGACCTACAGCAGGAAAGGACTGAGACCGCTGTGTGAATCAGAATGGAACATGTCAATTGGGTGAATTTATCCAGGAATTCCGCAGAATGCATTTGATTCGGCCCAGAGTTTGGGGGGGTCCCGGTCCAGGTCCAAACTCTTTCCTTGGTTGAACATTTGACTGCATTGTGGTGCAAGTGCAACCTGTGCAAAATTACTCAACCGCAGAACCCTGCGAAGGATGATATCTTTGTCGTACAGCTGGCCAGCCCAGTTTCAACCTGTTCTACAAACAGTCGCTATTTTGAAATGGGTCGGCCCAGAAGGAGGGGTTGCTCCCTACCGTTTTTTCTCTTTGGACAGCCCCGTGAGGGCCCTAACTCTTCACCTTGCCAGGTCTCCAAAATGGCCACTTCTGCAAAGTACATTGGCCAACCTCCAACAACGTCCCACGGCGGACGTAGAACAACTAGGTGGGTTCGCTGTTTCGGCTCCATCCGTCAAGAAGAGATGCAGCAGTGTGAGAACTCTTGTAAACCTTTGACCGGGTGACGATGTGTTTATACGGGCCTTGTGCTATCATCAGCATGTCCATGATAGCGTGCACAATCACCAACGAACAAGACAACAAGGCTTGCTATATGCCGCAGTTTGTCGGCCATGCATGGCCCAATTCCCCAAAAGCTCCCCAAGCACGATCATGCCACTCTTGCACAAGTCTTTTCCGTCCAAGCACCATTGATCTTGGTGAAGTGCTGTGAGATCTCCTTCACCCTCTCATAGGTGATGGGGCCCGAACGTGCCACAGGCTCCAGGAACTCCCAAATACCTGAGTCTGACCAAAGATGTCCACGCAAACCATTACATTGGATGTTATTTGCTGTTAGTGACAGTCCTCGAGCTTAGGAAGTCTCATATCCGCTCAACATCTTGAACTGGAAATTCCCATTCAGGGTTGCCACGAGGAGAAGCAACCAGTCCAGCCCATGCTGGCCCTACCACTCACCTCGGTCCCAGTTCTCACACCTCTTCTCGCAAACGCCACGAGTTGCGTTCCCGGTGTCGCGCACTCCACGCCGTCTCACAGATCTCTGGACCACGAAGGCCGCAGTGCCTCGATCTCGCCGTGGCGGGCACAAAGGCCGCGAGCCAGCAGTATCTGGACATGGCTGCCATGCGCAAGCGAAAATTTATGGATGATGGATTGTGAGCACCAGGTGTGGGGATTTAGAGGCAGAACGAAGAACTTATCTATACATATCTATACAGTATATAAATAACTAACACCAGCCCATGATCATGATAAGTTCCAAGATGGTAGCAAAACACGACCTTGGGAGGGATATAATATGCTCTCATGGTCCTTCGGCCAAGGTCGAAGTGAGATGTCTCCCTTCCTTTACATCAACGATCGGATTCTTTGACAATCCATGGGGCCTCGGGTCGATGATGTACGCAAGACTAGCGAAGAACATTTTGGAGTGTTTGGGTAGTGGAATTCACTAGTCACTAGACATGCTGCTTGTAGGGAGCTTTCCCTGTTGGAGTCTTTGCCCAACAGCGGCTTGGAGGCCGCGCTTGGCCCCGAGCTTTGGAGGCCGAGCACGCCGGTTTCAACCGGCGCGGAGCACGCTGGAGCCGAGTGACGGCAACGAAGGATGAAACACACCGAAAGGCAACGAGGCTTGAGAGACTCTTTCGTCCCAGGAGAAAGGCTTGCCCTGTTCTCCCAAGAATTGGCTTGCACAGTGAAACCTTTCTTGGGGGGAATCCACAATTGTCAAAGGCACACTCCCACGTCAAGAATAGCTTTGGTCACGGTTTTCAACAATGGTTCACGTGTAGTCGCTAGGACTGAACGGTGGTGCAGAACCTAATCCATCCGGGAGTCGGAGTACCAGGGACCAATCGGCCACTGGAAACTTCAGGAAATCCCAAGATGTTTGGATGATATCCCCTAATGAATCTTAACGGATCCTAATGGTGCAACTACATCCCATGATTGAAGTGTGTTGAAATCCTAGCTATGGTTGAAATCTTGCGATTTTCACATTGTTTTCACCCCGCACCTTGAGCTCCTTGATGATGTCGCCCTGCTTGATCTTCCGCAGGAAGGCAGCGCCTTCTGTGACGTAGCCTGGCTACATATGTGACGCTGTGCTCAATTTTTCCAAATCCACGACTTGTAATCCCTCAAATGTATTGTGACACCGAACTGGGACGCCATGCCTACTGCGACAGAAATGGGTGAAGAAACGTGGGGAACAGCTGAAATGATCTCAAATCTGTGCGGACACCACGCCCCAAATGTGCGGAAACAACTTGACAGTCTGTTGTCGAGGTGCCGAAGGAGCCGTAGCGGCCATCGAAGAGGTTCTTCCCCGCAGGGGTCATGTCCTCAAGAGCGACGAGAGACTGGGAGCGAAGGTCAGTGGCCGCCGTGAACAGGTGCACTGTGGTGAACTATTGATTCATGTGCTGCGTTTTTGTTGAAGGAAAGGAGGTCGACCCATGGATTGGAGTTGCACGCCCTCAGTTCCTTGGAGGCGTAAGAAAGAAGCGGAGTGAATGTCAACTGTCTGGAAGCAAGTCATCTCATTTAACTGACCTGGGATTGGGTGTCCACTTGCTGACTATTCAGGACTCCGGACCTTCAAAGAGAGGTTTACCTTTTCTGGACGGTAAATGGCTAGTCAGTCTAGTGATGTCTAGGGAATTGCTTGAAGCCCCATGGCCATGACCAGACCGGTGCTTCATCCAGGCTCAAGAAAACAACGAGACCTTCCAGTCGATTGGCTGTAGAGGTCCTCTCCTTGACAAGCAGCTTGGTAAACAGAATCGTATCACATGCCCTGTTGAAAAAGAGTTTTGAAGGAACATGTAGGAACACTCAAGAAACCCACAGGAACCATGCGAACTAACCCAAACAATATGTCTCTATACTTGCAACTTGCAAGTATATCATGTACGTTTGAAGTGTTCAACTTGGCTGCGTGTGAAACATCACGCCCACCCCCCCGGCCCGGAGTACTGCGGACCGATCGCCGGTGATGATGTCCGCAAGAGACGGGCTCCGTTTGGCAGACCGATGGCCGAACAGCGGTTTTCCGCCACCGGCCGTCGGTGAAAATCGGACGGAACGTGGGCATCCGATGGAGGGACGAAGACAGCCGCCAGGTCTGCTTGCAGAGAGAGCGAGTGCGCAACAAACTGCGCAAATATCGACTTTGGGTCTATCCTATTTATGACCAGTAACAGTGGATGATGATGGCTAGTAAAGGCCTTGTTCAAAAATAGTGGCAATTGTACTGACTGCTATATGTATATTATATACAGGTAATAGGACAGACCCAACGCAAAAAAACAAACTTACAACCGCTTATTAACCCGATTAGTGTCTGATAGCTTCCAACATGGCACTCAGGTCGCTGGATGTCCTGGATGTCCGCATCAGTGAACGATCCCAAGATTCGGTACCAAAGTAGAGCCAGCCGTCCGCCGCTATCAGTTTGTATTAAATATTATTAAATACATTATATATATATATTGAATAACGCAAATGATCAAGAACAACGCTACAGCACATGGCTAGTGCTCAAGACATGGCCTTTTGCACGCGGGCTCACCTCCTACGTCCTATGGTAGTCTAGCCATTGCCTCCTAATTGGCTTGTCCCTAACACGCGAACCACCGAAAACCCTTAAACTCATGTTCTGTCCATCAGTTACGCACCGAAAAACTGAAAAATAACTACCAACAAACCAAGTTCATGGAGGTATGGTGAGGTTGACCTTAAAGCTGTGGTCATTTGTTGGTTTGGATATGTTTTGAGTTTTGGTGAGATTAGTGTAGTTGGTTAAGAAACCATCCAGTTGAATTGTCAAACCTCTTCATATGGAGGGTTTATGGAGGGTTTTTAAAGCTGCGTTCACTCATGTCATGTCATGGCTTTCCACATCGTTCCATGGGGTGCTTTTACACCAAGATGACAGCATTGACGAAGACTGAAACTGCAGCAGCCCTGCTCAGCATCGGAGGCACCAGGCCTTTCTCATCCGCAAAATACCGACCAGTCGGATCTAGGCACATTAGACCGCAAGAGCGTTTTTCGAGGTCTGGGTCAAAAGCACAGGCACCTAAGAAGTGCACTTCTTAAGAGTCTTTGCTTTCGGACTCCACCTGGTACGCTGGTCATTGACATGAATTTGGAAATCTGCCAGGTCTTGAAGAAGATCAAACATACAGCAGTTTCAATGTCCATGCTATGTTCATGACAAGTAGTTCCCATTTCTTCGGGTGGCCAAGCAGCAAACAACTTGGGTCTTTCACACTGGACTCAGCCCAACACAATTACTGAATTACTACAAGTTCACTTCACTTGGAACAACGATGCCCAACTATTAGATCTGTTCCATCAGGGTTCGGTCGTTTGACACTGTTTCATGAAGTGTTAGCATCTTTATATATTACATGTTCATAGATATTCATATACTATTTATAAAAAATAATCATAAGCAAGCAAAGTCTTCAGTTGGCAAAGCCTGTAGAAAACAAGAAGCGTTGCAAACAAAACCTAGTTCTTTGCGGGTGTTCTAGCTGTGAACATCACCTGGTTTGCAATTCTGTGACCAAACATTGCAACAGGAAAGCCCCATTTGACCCATCCCTCTCCACCGTGTTCAACAGGCAAGTTGGCACAACCACGGCGGCACACTTGTTGTCTGCACTCTGGGAGCCCGCGCTGCAAGTGCAGCCCAAAATGGTGAGAATTGATGCATGGAACACAATGGAACACAGTAATACGGCTCACCAATCGTCCTCCGAACTTGGGTGGTTTGCCATGGTTTGCAACATTTTGGAGGATTCCGCATGCTGGTCTGCATCTTAAGATGCCTCAAAACACTATACATCTTTGCACCGCACGAAAGATCGAGGAGGGGTCTGCAGGGTGTGTGAGAAGCCTTCTTTAGGGAGCATGGAACATCCCATTAATCTGTAGGATACATTCGCTGGGAAAATCTTTGATCCCAAAGTGACTCTTCGGCTGACCTTAATTTACTACTCAAGCAGGCTCCAGACTCCAGACCATCCAAAAGCTAAGCAAAAAGAAAGAGAAAGCTTTCAGCCTCATCAGGGCTTTCCAAAAGAGTGCTTGCAAGGCAAAATATGCTGGTGTCTTTCATTCATCTGTGCAAGGACCACCTCAGCTGGGGGTGACAATCCCAAAACCCAATGGCAAAGCTTCATCTTGGCCGTCGGTGCCTACGCGCTCAACTGGCAGTAGATGTCTTGCTGAGCAGCTTGCAGGCCTCCACAGGCAGCGATCTGCACACAGGAAAACTGTGTACGCCATATGCAGCACAAGAACCTCCATGCTAAGCCGCTAAGTTGGTTGTGTTGGTTGAGTGACTTGTTTGAGGATGATCAGATCAGCAATTTGTATTCTTTTGGCTGTCGCATGCTGTAGCCATCATCCCTCCACGTGAACTTTTTCTGATGTTCTTCTCCTGATCCTTCTGATTTTGCCTCGGCGGTAGCCGACCAAGTAGGTCATCAGCGAGGTGAGAGGAAGGAGCAACAGCAGGCCTCAGTCGCTCGGATTCGGATTCGGTGGGTACCGAAGCAATGCGATTGCTAGGCTGCTAGGGAACCCATGGATGGCATTTCCCTGTTTCATCCTGTTTCTATATTTCCCTCCCCAAATGAACCTTCTCAGTTCCTATGAACGCCGAGTGCACGATCTCATCACCTCCACGAGGCGTTTCACGGTTTCATCACCTTTGTGCCTTTGTCAGCACCAGCGGTTTGATTATAATCTCAACGCCTGGACTGAGTTCGCACTTTGAACTCTAAACCTTAGTCCGAGTTGCATAGCGTGGGGGGGGATGGTGACAACGCCCAGGTCAAAGCCTCCGATCGCCGATCAAGGTGGACACAGTGTCCCAGTGGACACCTGTAATACACATTTATGACTGACTAATTTTGGAGGTGGGATGAGGTGGGTGTCCTGCGGGTCATTTTCAAGCAGTTCGATTTGGTCAGGTTGTGCTTTGGGGCAGTCTTTTGACAACACCGATCCCATCATCGAACCCAAGTGCCCAATCACACACGACAAAGTTTCATGATACCTCATGGCACAGGCCCTTCGGATTTAAACCACTTACAAAACTTTCAACTGGAAAGCCATCCTCAATTTGATACCTGCACTCCGGGGCCTATGGGTAGTAA